AATTCTGGCTATTCAATATGAAGAAGCAGATGAATGATGATATGAAAATTGATTCTTATTTAATACTATTAGCAAAAACAAACATATTGCTCTTCAAACCAAAGAAGCTTATTAATAAATGAAAAAAATGAATGACACTAAATCAAAACTGAGTGTTATATTCATCAGTTAATTCGATAGAAGACCCAACAAAATTAGACTATATTGATAAAATAAGCAAATGTGAATGCATTAGTTTCCTTATCACAAAATTTCAATACTCAAGATCATTAGAAAGCAAAATCAAATCTGTTATTATTTTTACAATAACCAATTATAATTAGCCTATATTATTCAAACAAGAATCACATTATTTCTAATTAGGCTTCTATTAACATACTGGAAGCTCAAACATGCTTACTAGTTTCATATCACATAATTTGGCACAGAAAGCAGAACAATCTCCAAATCAATATGATTTACATATTGCTAACTGATCCAAATCATAATCCATTCGCAAGCGGTATAGTTAGTGGCTGCTCTAGAAGACAATGATCTATAACACATCCCAGAATTATTTCTACATGATTAAGGATATGTGGCTCAATCGTTAATCAACACAAAATCCAACCAGGTTGAAAGTATCATGGTAGCATCTCACATAAAAGAATGGGTCTGAAAACAGCAGCCTGTTTATATTATTTATACTTTTCCTGAAGCATTGTCCTATTATTTATACTTTTCCTGAAACATTATCTTATTCATATGTATAAAAAGCAAAGGCAAGAATATATCAAACAGTGTGTTAGATTTTATTTCTTATAATGAAAGGCCACAAGAATTAGTGAAGGATACAAGGAAGATTTAAGGTCCTAAATGTGGAATATATTTTTTTTTCATAGTATAAAGAGTAGATATTGAAAAATGGAAATGAAGTGTGAAAAATATGGAAACTGCAACTAGGAACAATATCAGAAAGAACCTTAGAAGACCTAAAATTAAAAACCTGGAAAAAAAATTCTGGCACCAGAAAAATAACCACCCAGTTGGGACTCTTTAGGAAAATGATTCCAACCAATATGAGAGTTCTACTGGAAGTTTCTTTTACTTAGCATCTGGTTCTTATTATTTGCTGAAAGATATCAACAATAGTGCCAGAATGTGATCTTAGATATGGATTTAAGAAAGATGAGATCCTTAGACAATTCACTCTTAATCCATTCTGGCTCTTATCTGGCTAATATCAGCATTTTACATTTGTTTCAGAAATGGACAGGACTATTTTCAATGTCTTTATACCAGTGGTATAGTCATTGTATCAGCCAATCTGAATGAATATTATTTACATATAATATGGAAGGGAGATTCATATTAAATATTTATGTTAATAAATAGCGACATCATTCCAATATATCACTTCTAAACAGGCTGGCCACTCAATTAAATTTTTCTTTAAATTTGAGTTCTAAATAGCAATGTTTATAGCCACTCGCAATGTTTCACTGCAGAAAAACATTTTTAATTGATGAAACAATCCACCTTCTTGTTGACCAGTGGTGGGATTCAATTTTTTTTATTTCCAGTTCTGTGGGCGTGGCTTGGTGGGTGTGGCAGGGGAAGGATACTGTAAAATCTCCAGTCAGAGGTGGTATTTGCTGGTTCTCCAAACTACTCAAAATTTCCGCTACCAGTTCTCCAGAACTGGTCAGAACCTGCTGAATACCACCTCTGTTGCTGACCATGATTTGTATCGGGGTGATAAATCTGAATTCAATTTGCCTGTTTACTATTTCTGACACATGAAAGCAATAGCTAAGTATTAATTTTACTTTAATTTCTGAAAATCTATAAAACTGGGGAAGAAACATATTGTCCTTGATCAAGTCCACAACGTGACCTCACTCACTTTCTTCATTGCCCTACTTGTTAGCAGGCAAGCAGGCCTGTAGCCAACAAACGCCTTCCACCCCTTGCTGCTTTGCTAGGGAGTTTTTAGAAATATAATCTTAACACATCCATAGGGCACTAAGTTAAGGCAGACTGTGTTTTTTTTAATTGCACTATCAGGTACTTGTTGCAAGCAGGGGTGAGCTGCTGGGGGTTCGCAGGGGTTGAGGAGAGCCTGTGCTAAGATTCTGTGCAGTTCAGAGAACCCCCAAATCCCACTCCTGGCTGGCCCCGCCCACCCCACCCCTCTCAGGAGTCCCTACACAGCCATTTTGGATGTAGTTAAGTATAGGGTGCACACGGAGGTTCGGGGAGAGCAAAAACCGGGCCTCCCGGAAGTTCAGGAAGGCCAGAAATGGGCTTCTTTCTGGTTTCCAGAGAGTCTCTGGAGCCCAGGAAGGCCGTTTTCGCCCTTCTGGAGGCGAAAAAACTCCGGAGCCTGAGGAGGGCAAAAATGCCCCTGCTCGCTGTGGTGCAGGAATGGCAGGAAAGGGCATTGCATGCCAAAACAACTAGATACAAAGATAGTTTTTTTTCCCTAGTGCCATCACTCTGCTGAACACCTAATTTTCACAGTGCTATCTAATGTCTATGCATATTTACTTACACAGTATTATTATCCTTTTTATTATGTTCTTTACTATACCCTCTTATTGGTATTATTATGATTATTATTCTGTTGCTTTGCCTGTAAATTGAAAGCTTCTACACCGGAGACAAATTCCTTGTGTATCTAATCACATTGGGCCAAATAAAATACTCAGTTCAGTTCAATGCAATTTTAAAGCTGAGAATGAGAGTGGAAGGTATACAAAAGACAATCCACAATTATTCCCACTCTTAAAACCCCACCAAATCTCTCAATATAATTTAAAAGCGCATTTTATTGATTGTATTGTGGCTGGCTATAATTTCAGGAAATAAAAGTAGTTCTGTAAAAATTCAACCATTTTAATCACTGAACATTGATGTGGCAATCTCAGGATGCATTGGTTTGCTGATCTGTGAATTAACAAATCAGGCAGGGTAATATTTTTGAAGATGTACAAGTTATCTGGAAATTGACTGATGTATAGCCACCGAAGTATTGAGTTGGCTGCATTTTATCCAGTAGCAAAGGAAATATGTTTAGTATCTGAGCATGTATTTTATACTGTACATGTGATTTTATCTGATCAAGCCAGAAGGCAAGCAAGCAGTCAACCTTGCAATGGCGTTGCTGTTGTTTGGAGTAGATATGCAGCGTATTATATTTTCTTTAACTACTACATTAAAAAAGTCTTAGAGAAGTATCACATGCATTCCTCTAAATAGGTTGTCTAGGATCACACTCTGGTAATCTTAAGCATGATTTTAAGGCCCGCCACTTTACTTAATCTCTTTTCTGGGTAGCTAGGCAGTTTTCCAACAAAGCACAAAGCTGTAACCAGTCACTATTTTGTTATTTAGATACAGATTCTAATCACTACATTAGAAGCTACCAGTATTAACCTTTCATGTTACCAAACCTTTATATTTTGATGGTGATCTTAAATTAGGTTATAGAATAGGGTGTTTTTTGGCAATTTCTTTATATATTTTATAAACTGAGCTGTGTCTAGTCAAAAGGGCATGACAAAATATTATGATTACTAGTTTTTTTTTTTAATTACAAATGAGATAGATGCTGTTATACTTGCTTAAAGTGTAATGTATGCCTACTACAGCAGCAGCAGCAGCCAACAATTAGCAGGAGTCTCCCTTTATTTCTTGGAACAAGCTTGGACTGGGGAGAAAAAAATGACTGCAAAAAGGGAGCAAGGCTGAATTAATTATCTGGGTTGAGCAAAAGGAAAGGGAATAACTTGCATTTATTTAAATTACACTGTAGTATTACCTAAGTAATACAGATAGACTTTGGCTGATAACCATAACTGAATTCAAAATTTCTGTTGGTAAGACAGTTGTGAGTGTTACCCCATTTTATGACATTTCTTGCCCCAGTTGTTAAGTGAATCACTGCAATTAAGTTAGCAACATAATTGTTAAGCAAATCTGAATTTATTTGTCAGGTCACAAAAAGTGGTCACCCGACTCCAGAACACTGCAGCCATCATAAATATGAACCCCTTTGTCCACAGGGATGCTGTAGCAATGTGAAAAATAGTCGTAAGCCACATTTTTCAGTGCCATTGTGGCCAGAGGACCCCAAACTTGGCAACTTTAAGACTTGTGGACTTCAACTCCCAGAATTCTCCAACCAGCTTTGCTGGCTGAGGAATTCTGGGAGTTGAAGTCCACAAGTCTTAAAAGTTGCCAGGTTTGGAGACCTCTGCTTTAGTCACTAAACAAATGATTGTAAGTTGAAGACTAGCTCTTTTGGCTAGATCACCATCAATAATAACAATAATATAACTGTTTTTTAAGCATGAGAGACAAAATGGCTCCTTGTTAAATTTAGTTTTCTAGAATCTCAGCAAAAGCCAGTTTAATGTGTAGGGGTGAAAGCACCAGGCTAGAAACCTCGAGACTTTTGAGTTCTACTCCAGTTTTGGGTATAAAACCAGCTTGGATGATTTTAGGTGAGTCATTCTCTCTCAGCTTAGGTAAGGGAGCTTTTAGGCACATCATTTCTGCAAACGTCGCCAGGAGCAAAAGCTGACTTGACAGCGCGCGCATACACAAAAGAATCCAAAACCCGGTCACATCAAGTTTGCAGTCTCAAAAGTATTTCTGTAAGGAAAGATTTTCCGCAAGGAATAAATCTAAACCGCGGGGCGGTCGATTTCCTCCCACCCGCTTTCTTTAAATAGATGCTGAGGCGGCGACAGGAAAACAGTACAAAGATTGTGCCCGGGAGACAGAAAAAAAAAAAAATGAGAACGGCCTTTCTGGCGGGAAAGCCACAACGGGGAAACCCTCGCGACGCCCGAGCTGGCGCAGAGCCAGGCGCCGTCCCCCGGGTGGCGCGCGCTCAGCCCGGCGCGAGCAAAGAACCACGCGAGCGCGCTCTCCTGCCCCAAAGCTATTGTTTCCATTCCTGGCGGCCTCAATGGAAATTCCACCTTCCCCACCCCTCCTTTCTGTTGCCCGGGCTGGGCCGGGCTATTTATACAGCTTGGCGCTGCCGTCACGGAGAGCCGTTTCGCTGACGAGGGATTGACGCTCTTGGCTGCCGGAGCCGCGCTTGCGGTTACAAAGGGCGCTTTTGTGTGAAAGCGACTCCGGGGGCTTGGAAGAAACGGCGGGGAAAGGAAGGGGGGAAGACCGTCGCCCTTTGGCCGCCCCGTTTGCAACCCCGAAATCTTCCTCCGAAGAGGCTGGCCGCGGCGGAGAGTCGTCATCCCCCCCCCCCACTACTCCCCATCCACCCACCCCACTTCCCGGAGGTGTTGTTAGTCCGCTTTGCCTCTGAAGCGAAAAGGTTGCACCCTGGAATGGAGAGAGTTTTAGCCACCGGTTTGGAAGAAAAAGAAAGAAAGAAAGAAAGAAAGAAAGAAAGAAAGAAAGAAAGAAAGAAAGAAAGAAAGAAAGAAAAAGAGGGCGAGGGAAGCGGGCATTTGGCAGAAAAAAAAAAACACCGGGCTTCTGGCGGAGCCCCAGGGCAAAGAAAAAAAAGGTAACTATTACTATTCCTCATCCGTTTCGCAACAATGTGAAGCCGCAGCTGCCCAGTTCTTGTAGCCGCTGTTGGCTTTCCGTGCGCGCACCGAGTTCTTTTCCACGAAAGTCGTAATGGAGCGGCCTAGCGTACGCGTGGGGCGATTACTAGTATTATTTATTCGTGCGTGGGCGGAGGCGGGGAGGCGCATCGTTTGACCCAAGCTGCAGGAAGCCCGCGCTTCCGGAAAAGTAAGTTCTCCGTTTGAATCCGGGGGGGGGGGGGGGGGGGGGGGGGGGGGGGAAGGAGGAGCTTCTCACCTTTGTCCCCACCCCTAAATGAACCCGCTGTTTGTAGCTCGAGCAGACCTTAAGGGGCGGAGAGAAGCTCTTTCTACGCCTTTGAAAGCTTCCGGGGAAAAAAAACAACCACCACCACCACCACCACTAGCCTTTTTAGGAACTGCGGTGTCGTGGTGGAAGCTTTGGCAGATTTTTTTCCTCTATCCGTTTGCTTTACCCGTCCGTGCCTTTTCTTTTTCTTTCTTTCTTTCTTTCTTTCTTTCTTTTTTTTTTACACTGTACAGCACATTTCCTGTAAAAAAAGGAAAAAGAAATCTCGCCTGGTATCCCCCCTCCTCCCTTCCCTTTGAATCCACTCGTTTATGCCTTTGCAGACGGAGAAAAACGAGTCTTATGTTCTGCTGACAGTGACAATCTCTTTTTCTTCGTTTAATTTGACAATAGCTTTCAGCGCAGCTGGATTTCCACTAGGTGCAGATGTTGCTAATGGCAGCTTAAGCATGGATGGGCAGATAACATATGGAATGCAACATGTTGCCATATGGTCCCCCTTTAGCCTTTTCACCTCCCAAGAATATCAATCAAATATATTCTTTGTGGGGGGGTGAGGGGGAATTTAATGACTCTGAACAAGAAGATGAATTGCTTTGGACAATTTATATTCCTTGACCGGAGACTTTTAAAATCAATAAGGTGGTAATCCTATGCGGGGCGCAACCTTTCGCCTCTGAGGCAAAGTGGCTACCTTCCCTGAGAAGTAAATGCGATTGCGCTGAATGGGGATGGCTGGTAGAGAAATATGTACGGTATTGAACAGAGTGGATTTTACAGAGTGCCTAGTAAGAATGAGAGCAAAGTGCAGAAGGATTTCAAAACCTGCAAACATCTATTTGTCAGCTGGGATCCTGGAAACTGTCAGATATGTTATATGGCCTAGTCCCCTTAATATTATAACCTGACAAAGAAGAATTATATGCATTTAAAACTATAATATCTTATTAAAATATTGTTAACATCACTTTCTATTTGTGTGTGTTTGTACTCCCCAATTCTTTCTGTTCCAGAAAATGAGGTAAATGTACAGTTAAAGCTGAAGGAAGCTAATAATTTGTATTTTGTTGTATTTTATGGTTACTTTTTCACGTGGTTTTTAAAAAAGCATATTTATCTCAATTACTTATTTTACCTAATCAGTCTCCATAACAATTATAGAAAAGGGTTAGTTATCCTCTTTTGAATTATGGTATACTTTAGCAATTCCTATTTGTTTGTTAGAGATATCATTATGTAAAATATTAAGAACCTTATACACGATATTTTCAGATTCTTGTTGATGGGTTAGTTTTCCAAAAGTAATAGAATACGTTCACTGAAATCAATGAAACAATATGACAAAGTCCCAAAGTTTAATAAGGCTAATCTTAACTGAGAAATTTGAAATCAATCTAACGGGTGTAGAATAGCATTCTTTAAGCTTTAAACATGCATTTCTAGGAGGGAAATCCTGTTGAATCCTACAAAGTTGATTTCAGAAAAACATGCATGGGCCTTAAAATAGTATTCTTAAGGGATTTGTCTGCATCATCTATGCCTGCCTCAGGTTCTGCATTCTGAACTACATTAGAAAAATGCTTTTTTACATAAAGGCTTTACAGAGATCAGATTTAATGGGGAAAGTATTTTTGTGTTTAAATTTTGAATATTGCTTCTAAATGTTGTAGTTATCCATAATGTCTGATTCTGACATAAAAGAGGTAGAAAACATTTCAAGAAATTTTTAACCATATATTGTTGCCCCCTTTTTATTTATAGTTTCAGAGCATATGCTCTCCTATCTAATTATTGTTTGCAAACTATGGATGCAAACCAATCTAATGTTTTTTTTAAAGGATAGATTTAATAAGAAAAAAAATAATCCTATTACAGTATTTTATTTCTGCAACGGACTGGATGAAGCTATCCTAGGCTGCAACTTCTAGGATTTAATCAGTTCTTTTTCCTGAGTTCTCTAGCATTTCGGGGTTTTTTTGAGATGAGCTTATAATCATTCCAAACCTCTACCATTTATATATTGAACCATTGAAAGAATGGTTTAACATTCATAGATATGAAAACGGGGGGGGGGGGTAGGTTTGCCTTCAGTAGCCTAATTTAAATTAGCAGTCTAAAATTGCCTATGTGCAAATGCACATGTAAGTCAGCATCTCTAGACAAAATGCTTCTAGTCAATATATAACTTTAAATGGAATCATGTTTAATCTTACTCCAATATTTCCCCACCCCAGCACCTGCACCTTGCAATTACAAACGAGTGTCCAGGGGGTGCGGGGACCACGTTGCAGTCGGTTGGGACTTTAAAACCTTTCCTTCTCAACTCCTGCCAGTATAAAATACCTTTCCACAAAGTTTGCTATAGAGAGGAAACCCTTAGTCACTAATAGTGCATATATCAGCAGTGTAATGTGTAGTTTAGCTAAGGGAATGTTAATAAGTTTTCTATCAATTGAGAAAGCAATTAATGAGAAAGGTTCCTTCTGAACCACAATTCAGTATAAGCCTTTTAAGAAGCTCTGATACACTGTCTGCTGTTAGAAGTAAATATTTTGCTTACAAGCAATGCAGAAATATTCCCCATAAAAGCTCCAATTACCTTTCTGTTCTTATATTAGATTTTATGATAAGGGCCGACATGGAAAATACTTTGTTAATTTGAAGATGTCTCTTATTATCTAAATAAGAATAATTTTGGAAACATTAAAGGGTAAAAACTAGTTGGAAACATCCAAGAAAACAATGTTTTCAGTGAAATATATTTTAATATGGATCTTCTAAAATGTGTCTTCTATTCATTCATCTTTGCATGTGCTCAATTGTCACTATATACTATCATTGCTGATAACACAATGACATACGCCTTTCATTACAAAGGCAACATACAATAAATACTTCATGCTATGGACTCTTAATGTTTTCTTGTAAATATTACTTTGGCTTTATTGCAGTTGCTGTCTTTTTGATATTAATATTTTGACACCCTTTTTTGTTATATATTCCTAATCATAGGTGACCCTTATGTTTTAAGAACAGAAAATTGAAGAGCTTTTCCTCAAAACAATCCAGAAGATTAACATTATTTTTAATCTCCCAAGTTAACTTGTTCCGAAATACGCTTTGCTGAGATACTGTTAGGTCACGAGAGTGGTTCTCAACCTACAGTGGCATTTGGGGCTAAAATTGTTCTTCGCAACCAGAATTCCAGATGCTGTCAGTGTGGAGATGAAGGAGATGTTTTTCTTCTGCAGGAATTCCACAGAAGGTCGAATTGCTCTTCCTTTATCATTCCAGGTCTAGAGAGAGAATCTCTTACACTGACTTCTCTGTACAAGTATTTAGGTTATCCAAAGGCGTGATTTTGCTACCTCTACAAAACTGTTTGCATTCATTTAACGTAGACTTCTTTCTGAGGCCTGGAGCCATGGATGTTTGTTCTCTCTCTTCTTTTTTTCACATCATTACTCTGATACTGCTTGATTAGCTCCCTCCCCAGTCATGATTGGTAATTAAAATAGGCATTAAAATTAGTCACTTAGCAATTTTGCTGTTCAATTGGCAATTAAATTACTTAATTGCAATTAAAGTCCTAATTTTAATTGGCAAAATGATAGATGTAGATTTAAGATAATATGTATAAATACTTTAATAAGTGTCTATATAAGGATTACTTAATTACTCAACTTGAAGTTTATGTTGTTAACTTCAAAACTTTAAAATGAGCAATGAAATTTTATATTACTTGGATTCTAAAGCTATGGTAATTAAATATGTACCTAACAATATAAGGGCCAAACTATGTTTCTTCTATAATGTTGCAAATATAGCATGGGAAACTCTTTATGATAATCAGAAAAGCAAAGCATATTGCTTATTTTAAAAGCATTTAAATCAATAAATCATATTCAAAAGTAAATATGTCTTGGGGATATTATGCAAATAACAGTTTAAAGAGAGTGTAACTAAAACAGGAGGAAAGTATTACTTTGTCAAGAACTGTAACTGAAATAATATTGATGCAAAAAGAGATTGTTGCTTTTTTTGTAATTAACATTCATTCCATACTGAGATGTTGGCATCAGCAGAAATCGCAACTAATATTTAAAACTATAGTATTGTATCTTTGCATGAATGGATTTTTAAATCCATTGTGTCTTTGATTAATTGCCCTAAATAGGGCATTCTGGCAGATTTATCATGGTATTTGAGGAGAGGGTTAAAAAAAAGCGCATAGCTAAATTCTTTCTTCAACTATTAATAGTCCAAGAACATTTTTTCCATTTCCATCTTATCAATGTTAGTTTTCAGTTCTCATAAATATGGTTTAAAAAAAAGATAGAGGAAATTTACTCAAATTTTGCTTAAAATACAGACACGTTTTCTAAAAACTAAAATTATTTGTTATTGCCAATACATATTATGACATAATTTTCTTTTTATAGGCTATTATCACAGTCTTTTCAGTTGGTGGTTTTATTATCTTTCCTGAGATTATGTTCATGCATGTTCCTGGGGGAAAGCTCATAATTTGCAGCATGTCTTAAATTGGCAATCAATATTCTCAGCTCTAATATAGGTAAAGTTACCTATACCATTTCTTCCACATGAAGCAACATTTGAAGACTCTGTTTTCATTTTCAAACACTTAGAAGCAGTTTGCATTAAATTAAGAGATATTGTTTATTTTGAATGTTACAAACAAAATAATTGTTACATATTACAAACTGCATCATCCATATTTTCATTTATTCTTGGTATATAAATTATCTAGGTTGGTGTGAGAAGTAGCATCTTATTCATTTTGTTATACTCCTAATCAGAGTATTTCCCATGTTCGAGAAATAAAAATATCTATGCCTCAAGCCTCATTGTCTTTTTAGTTGAATTCTTGGAATAATATTGACAAATAAATGCGCTTAGACCTCCAATATAAGAAATTAATTTGCTACCCATGTTGTAAGTAAATGTGTTCACATTCAGGATTCAATCCTAATTACAGAAGTATCATTAAATTATTATGAGCACTGTGTTCTTATATAATACTTCTCATTTAGACTTCCCCTATAGCCCCTTACATGAAAGTTGTTGAACTTAATAGGATAAGCATACACACAGAGTAGTGCTTTTATATATTTTATCACATTCCCTTTTATAAGCTGCAGTTTTTATAATATGAAGCTTTGTAATGTAACACGAAAGCCAATTTGGTATAGTGGTTAAGAAGCATCCAGCCAGAAACTGGAGGTGGTGAGTTCTAATTCTATCTTAAGCAAAAGTCTACTGAGTGACCTTGGACCAGGCGGTCCCTCTCATCCCTAGGAAAGAAGGAATAGCAAATCACTTTTGAAAACCTAAGAAAACTGCAGGGACTTTCTCCAGGCAGCCTCTGAGAAATAGACATGATTGGGTAGAAGAAGAAATGCAGTGTTTTAAATTATGCAGGGCACCATCTGGTATTTGACAGAAAATCTGACCACAGAACCCCCCCCCCCCCGTTTTTTTTTAAAGGGAGTTTTTAATTTAAAAATAATGCTTATGATATAAGAAACATATTTCCCACTTAGTGAACTCATGCAAGTAACTTGACATATCAATTGAGGTATAAATTCAGCAACAAGAATAAAATAATTTTCTTATCCTCTTAACTTTGTTTAATATGATATAAACACAGAGGGATAACTTTCATTTTGTGAATCAACCTTGAATGCTAATATTTCTTTTACCTGTAATTAATTTTCTAATTTAAACGTGTGAGTACATACATATAGTTATAAAACGACTTTTTCACTCCTCATTTCCTCCAAATTGTAGAAGCTTATGTTTCAGTATAGCTCTCATCCACATCCACTGCTTCAGTGATGAAAATAACTTCACCCTATGTGTTATCAAGGAATACATGAAAGTTTCTGAATAACTATATCAAAATCAGTACTAGAACAGTACTTTTCAAACAAAATGTCACAGTCTGTGTTTGTAAAAATGGTTTTGTAGCAATGAAGTTCAAAGATGCCTACATAAATCTATAGTTTCTAAATTCCACAGCCATACTAATTCTTATGTTTGTAGCATCCCTAGGGATTTAGAAAATATATATAAAGAAATTAAATACCCATAATGTCTTATTGCAAGCATTCATGATGTAATATAGAAAAATGACATTATTTCAAGTGCTTGTGTATAAAATATTTTAATAGGATGCCACTTCCTTGAAATAAATAGAAACAGCTGGCCCTCTTAAAGAATACAACTATTTTGAGGCAAATTATACAATACATTATTTTGCACATGCAAATTAAATTGTGGTTAATGGCAAAGGACTCGAAAGATCAGCCTTGAATATTGAAGACAGGAGACTTTACATTCAACAAATTATTGGGAGTGATTATGCATTTACCTTAGAAAATACATCAAGGTTTTACCAATGTTACTTAAAATGTTCTTGGTTATGTTGACTGCAGAGTCCAGCCCCCTGTTGACATGATTGGAGAAATGCAATACTAAATTATTCTAATTGGGCAACTTTGGAAGAGCTTTAGACTAATATAAAATGATTGAGCTGTTTGGTTTTCATTGTTTTATAGTCCATGCTGTCCAAATTAATACTGCGTTTTTGAGCAAAAATATTTAAAGCCTCAAAAAGAAAAAGAAAATACACTCCATTTGGCCAATTATTAGGACAGGAGACACATTAGCAATGGTCTTGATCCGCATGTGGGAGTTATTTGGGCCTCAGCAACCTCTCAGATGGGCAACAGAAAACCATATGACCACAAGATGGCACCAAAGAAAAACTGAAAATCTTATTTGCTGCCACCTAGTGATCCTCCCAGTACTGGTATTTGCAGTTAGGCAGAGAAGAACAGCAAACCGCCTGAATCTTGGTAGCTGATGCAGAAGTGATACTGGGTGGAGGTATAGGTAGAGTCCCTGTTTTTTTCTTCACCATAGCCCTGTTCTTGGTTAAAGTGTGTGGGCTGCTAAAATCCGTACCATTTAGCAGAGAGGCAGGCAAGTCGGTGGGTTGACATCTAGTGGTCGCCCGTAGTTTTGCAGCCCAGATGTGGGCTTACCTCGCTACAATCCGGAAGTTTCAATGCGCGGGTGGCAAGGCAGAACCGGGGTCACCTTGCCTGCGGATGCCAAGGCCTTGCCTGCTTTTCCTCTCCATCGCTGCAAAGAATCATTTATGCCGGCCTGACTTCCCTTTGCAAAACAGTGATGGTTCAAGCGAGAGAGAAAAAGTTATTTGCGAGCTCCTCTTTTCGGAACCACCTCTCACACCCACGCTTATTCAAGATGATTTTTATTACTACGCTTGTCACTCCAAACAGAACGACATCCTTTTCTTACACGGGCTTAAACAGCATTAACAAAAGGAGAAGGGAGTTAGCGTTACCCCCTTGGTAGCCTCAGCCCAATCTTTGTCTTTGGAGCAACTTCAGAGCCAGAGCCTTAAAGGAAGTTCTCCGTCTCGGAAACGCAGCGCCCAGGAAAAGGGTTTTAAAAATAAACCCCCTTGGCTGCTTTTCGAGTTTCCGATTCGCAGAGCCTTAAAATAGCCCGGCCCACTCTCAGGCTGTTGCTTCCCCGTCTTCTCAGCGCAATGGAGCAGGCACCGCCGGGGCAAACTGGGCGCTTTTTGCGATTGCTATTTTCGGAGCATCCCAAGCCTGTTGCGTCAATGGCACCGTCCCCTTGCGTCACGCGCCACCCCGCCCCTCTTCCCCCCCCTCCCCTTCCCCTCCTCCCAACTCTCACTTTTTCCTTTTCGTGCGCTTCAGCCCACGGGCGGCGGCGGCGGCGGCGGCGGCGGCGGCTGACGCGGCTGCTCTCATGCTAATGAGCCCGAGCTTTCCTCCTCCCAGCCCTCTGGCAGCCTCTCGCCGGGCCAAGCAGCCGGAGGAGGAGGAGGAGGAGGAGGACTTAAGGTGGCCGCTCGGGGTTCTTCCCGCCTTCGTTGCCAATCTTTGTCCCTAAAAAAACCAAAACAAACAAACAAACAAACCAGCCAACCCCGCCCCTCTATTTATACGGTTCCTAAAAATAGCCCCGTGGTGGTGGTGGTGGTGGTGGTGCGGGGAGACAGTTCCCTTCTGGGAGGGAATCCCATTGACTCAAGGCGTTCTTCGAAAGTTCAGGGACATTTTTGGAAGAGACGGAAATCCTAATGGATTGGCTCAACTTACAAAGAGAAGCGCTCCGGAAGGGGAGCCGAGGCAAGCCAAAGAGGCTTGCCCCCAAATAAACTCGGAGATTAAAAGTCTCTCTCGAAGGCTGCGCTTGCTGCGAAACAAGCCCCTGTGCACGTTCGGCGGGGTTTGCTTTGAAACCGACCCGCGCAGGACCTACTACCTTCACGGAACCACTGTGGGGAGTGGGGGAGTGCGGGGGTGGGGGGTGTAGCAGTGCATTCCTAGAGCTCTGTGGCGTGCATGCCCCATTCACCCCAACGACGGCTCCATGCCTATGGAGAGTCTCGGTCATCCAGGTCATGGTTGTCCCAAGGGTGCTTTTTCAAGGGGCAAGTCTTCCATTCCCCACCACCTAGTCAGAGCTGAAGAAGCTTCTTGGGTGAGAAGCGAAACGTCTTCAAAGAAAAAAAGCAAACCAGAAAGTCCAGTTGCCTCTTGAAAAAAAGAAAAGCACCTTTGGGACCCAATGACAGCTCTGACTGAACATCTACTCACCTTCTGAAGTTACCTTCCGCGTCCTCGGTTAATCCTTTTGTCCCTTCACCTGCAAGATCTCCAATCGACGGCCAAAGCAAGTTCGGGTGGGGGTGGGGGCAAATTTTCTCCGTTTAACACGCTGAGGGTGGACACGCGTGGGCGGGGTGGGTGGGGAAGGGGGGCAAGGGAGCAGCAAACGCGCGCCTGCCTAAAGCCCCCTAATCCGCAGGCTGTTGGGAAAGGGTCGCGGGAACACGCACCCCCGTTCCTTCCCCCCAGCGCCCGCGGCCGGTCCCGTCGATTACCTGCGTAACGTCCACGCGGGAAACAGGACATAAGGAGGCATCCCAGCGACGTTTCCCGCCGAGGCAGCAAAAGGATCCTCGGGGCTTCGCTGCTTTTCCTGCCCATCTACACGGAAGTAACTCCCACTGGTTCCGTCGAGGGTTCACCCCAGATCAGAGCGCTCGGAATAGCAGCACTACTTCCCTCTAAGCGGTTCCTTCTGGGTGGCAGCGATTCTGACCCACGTGCACGCCTTGGACTTT